ATTCACACAGCTTTACTCCTAACTTAACTCCAGCAGTCGTGGTTACCTCTTTGCTAGTAACCTCATTCAGGGCCAGCACGCATGTAACGCAATGTCTGTGCTGTTCCACTCTTAGCTCTCCCCTTGGTACTAATCTGTTTCATGAGCACTATTCCAGTGGCTACAGGACCTGAATGCAATGAAAAAATCTCTCCTATCTTTAAGGGTTGTAGGAACAAATATTGAACTATTACTCATGCTATTGCATAGCTATCTTTTATTTTACTTTGTAGTGCAAATATAATGTTTTATAACTATTCCCTTTAAAGGTGTTACCAGAAGTGTGCTTGTTAGATTTCAAGATTAGTTTACATTATTATTAGAGCAAGCTATTTTGATTAAGATTGTGTGACCAATATATTCAGTATTTTATACTGATGCCCATTCTAATAACACTGTTAGAGTTGTTGTTAGTGTTAATTTCTCCATTTCTTCGTTAGGGGAGAGTTTCAAAATATTGTGGGTAACTATGGAATATGGGGATCTAAGAAGTGTTGCACTTCAAATTGACTTTGCTGTATTGGCATCACTCCTGTTGACTTCCTTGGCATCAAAATCTTGTCCAGGAAGTCCCTTGCTGTGAGTGTCTTACTGGAAATCAGTTTGCAGCTGTGGTTTAAGGCCACTGCCAAATCTGTTGACATGGGTTTTCTGTTGACATGGGTTTTCTGTAACTGTGTGCTACAGAGTTCCAAAGCTGAGCTGCCAGTGTGGCCTTTGATACCAGGAGAGTACAAGACAGCCTCATCTAACAAGCTAAGCAGACTCAACACACAGAAGTTGTGTATCCTAATTGTGCTTTTGGCTTCCAAGATGTCAATGAAATCCAAGATTGCTCAAACTCTATGCAAAGCATCCTGTTCTTTGGAATTTCAGCTACATCCATTCTGTACTGGGTGTCTTTACATTGCATTAGTAGATTCCTTGCATTTGTGCCTGGAAAGTATACTTACTCTGTGGCATGCTGCTGGGAAACTATTTTGGTTTGGAATGCCAGTAGACTGTTTAAAACAAGCCAATAAAAAGAGGCTCGCATATCACAAAGGTTATTTACTCAAGACTTTGAAAGGAAACCAAACATGAAACTGCTGAGTAACTCTGGGTCACCGCTTAAGTTAAAAGACTTTTTTTTTGCCAGAGAAATGGGGAATTAGGGTTACAAATACAAGACTTTTTCTAATGAGGTGACCAGGGACAGTCCAGGAATGAAGTCCTGGAGGGGTCTCTCATTGGACCTGTGTCCTCTCACATTTCCACCAGTGCTCTGGAAAAAGGGATGAGAATAAATAGATGACATTATGTGTGGACACTACCAAATTCTTCAGGGAGTGAAAAATTAACTCTGGACAGCAAACACTGCAGAAATTTCTCACTGTTAGTGCGTGGTGTGATAAAACAGTGGAAAAAAATGTAGGTCACTAGAAAACAATTCATGAATTGGAGGAAGAAACGATCCTGAGAATGCATAAATAGTGTGAGCTAAATTATTTATTCCAACAAAGGAAGGATATATTCTAATCATGAGAGATTTCTGAAACTGTGAACTGTGGCAAGAAGGCAAATAGAATGTTAACAAGCTTTAAAAAGCAACAGAAAACAAGGCAAAACATTTACAGATGTGTAAATCCATACTGTGCCCTCAAGTGTGCATGCAATGTTAATTTCCTTCCTCTGCATTTCAGAAAGGTATTCTTGAACTTTGCAGAGTGAAAAAGAGTCGAGCATTAAAATATAGATTTATTTTTGTTTAATCTATGTAAGGACCAGGACACTAAACTAGACGAGAACTAAATAGATGAAGATTCTTCAGCTTGGGAAGAAAGAAGTGGAGATGCAGAAGCCATTTAAGTACAGAAAACTGAGTCGTGCGATTGGTGGAGTAGGAAAGCTGAACAGACAACAGTGGTCAAAGTAAATGGGCAAATGGAATTATCAGTCAATTTTACAATAACAAAAAGAGGAAATTCATTTTTATAGATTAAATTAACTGTTGAATCCACAATTTATATCCACAGTAGTTGTGGGCTCAAAAATTATGAGCAAATTCATAGGTATTCCCTGATGACTCTTAGCTGTGATAACACAATCTCAGGTTTTTGGAATCTCAAAGCCACCAATTGCTGGAAGTTGGGAGAATTTACTGAGTAAAGTATATTTCTCTGGTTAGGTTTTAGAATCTTTGCCTAATCATTTGATATTTAGGATTGCTACAGTTGAAGTATGGAGCTGGAAAATGTATTGTCTACTACAGGTGTTTTTACAGGTAATAATATACTAGCGAGTGTACAGTTCAGCCGCGCACACATTGTGTAACTAGTGATCTCTGAATCATTTCAGGCATATGTATGGGATCTGCTGTGTTTGATTTTGGTGCCAGCAACCATTTAATTACATCTATCTTCACTGCCTAAGCGCTTTAAATGCACAGTCTCCAATTTCACCTCTTTCTTCTCACATAAAACTTTATGTTAACGTGTGCAAAGTCAACAGTAATGCAGTGTAAAATGGCAGTTAACCATTCGTGCACTGACTATTCAGTTTGGCTGAAACTGTTGTTCTGTCAGTCACCCATACCCTGGTGCTTGGATTTGAAGTGCTGCACTAAAGCATCCACGTTACCGCTTTCTAGAAGCAGCTTGTTAAACCACTTGTTTTAGTTATTCCAACCCAAAGACTTTTCCTCTGCTTTTTTGGTGGGACTTTAGGGATGAATGAAAAGCTCTTTGTTTCCCTCACTTCAGTTTTTAGACGAGATGTCCCTGATGTGTTTCAAATTTGTTCTCCCAGCCTTGTACTAACTTTGGGCTATTTGAAGACTTTTGTTTTTCACTATCCATAGACTGGAGAATAGGGGTCACAGCCTGACTCCACGTTCTTACTATTGATGTCATTTGCTACTAGCTACTTGTAGGTGACAGTGGGTACATGTTTAACCACAAATGTCGTACTGGCTGCATAAGATAGCAGCAACTGAAATGAGAGCTCCACAAGAGAAGAGTTTTATTGTGGAAGAAGAGTTTTTCAATGCAGGAGTCTAATATGAGCTTCCTCGTTCCATTACAAATAAGATACATAACAATAAAGTGTTTCTTAATAAAACTGATAAAATTATTGTGGTAATTCCTCTGGGCTCAGGTGCATTATCATATCAGCACAGCTTGACAAGCTGTGATGTCAGTTGAATAGCCACAGATAACCACAAGTATGCTCTTAGCTCATGGCAAATGTAAGGTAAAATGGCTGAGCTTAATCCTTGATGAAATATTTACTTTATCTCGATGCTGTGTGCACACAGCTTTTGTGACTCATGTGAAATACGACTTGGCCATGTATTTAACTCATCCTCATAAAATGTTTTTCATGGTAAACAGGTTGCCCTAAAAGAGTGATTAGCCTGAGGCGTGTGTGTGTAGCATTGTTTCAAATGTCCACCCTCACATGGTGAGAGACAGCCCTGCATTCCTTCCCCTTCACAGAGCAAAAAGTCTTTCCAAAGTCTAAATATTTCTATTAAGCTCTACCAGCAATTTTTTCCTTCTTGGATTTCCTTCAAAATCTTTACATTTCATCTTGAGCACGACACCTTTTTTCTTTCCTTTTTTTTTTTCCTTTCCTTTTTCCCACTCTTTCCCAAGAAAACTGTGACTGTGGGGTTGGACAGCAAATTACTACTGAAATCAAAGTCATTTGAAGGATAAAGGCATTTTAGCGTAGTATGAAGATCAATAATACTCTAGTTCTGACAAGTAAAGTGAATTTGCAGTTGTTCTTAGCACGAGTATCCTATGTTAGGTTGCTAAAATAATTGCATTCTATAAATTCATCAGCTATAGTCCCACAGACAACATATTAAGGGTATTTCTTCATGTGTTGGTAGTTTTGCTTCATAATATGCTTAAAAATGTATGGGATTTTTTTGTTCATTTTAGGTTTTTTAATAGAGATCATTATTGTTTCCGAATTACATTTTGTTATTTTGAATTGACAGGCTGGCTATTATAGATTAATTTATAGATTAATTTATAGATTAGTAACTGTAAAAGCCATCATGTTTTGCAGAAATAAGGGAGTTACCTCTCTTGCAAAGAGTAATCTGATAAGCCTACTGAATAGAAGTTGGTTTGAGAAGATTGCAACCAAGAAACTTAGATTCTTCAATACATACATGGAAATTTTAGAATATTTTCAAGACACATTATTTTGTCCACATATGGTTTTATATTTCTAGAAGTTGGTCACAATAGGGTCACCAGTTCCAAGAAGCAGATTATCTGTGTGTCTCTCCTTTCCCCTCATCCTCCCTCCCTCTTTTCTTTTAAGTACCTTTAGAAGTGTGGGAGAGGTCACTGAAAAGATGATTAAAAGCATTTGTGAAGTCAGAACTGTAATAGAAGGCTGGGATCATGGCTGGTTTGGATACTTCTTCAGATCTGAAGAACATCATGGAAAAGGTGCCCTGTTTTAGACAGGATTTGTTGTATATAGGTTAGTTGTTGCAATGTGTTTCACAAGACTTCCAGAAGCAGAGTCAGATGCAGTGTAGGTGAGTTTTTAATGCTGCCCTTCCCTTTTTATAGCTCTGTCTTGCAAGACCAGAGTACTGTGGTTTCCATTTAATCACCTTTGAAATAATTGTCCAATTACACAATAATATGTTGCCAATATTTAATAAGTTTCACATGTTTCAAAATAGACAAGGGAGTGGTGTTGAAGACACCTGCAATTGAGGGCATTGGTGGAGAGGAGAGAAAATGGAAAACACTTGTAGTGGTCAGTAACAACTTGCAGGAGGTAAAAGTCCTCTTATTGAGGTTTAGGTTGCATAAGCTGATACAGTGCGAGGTCTAAATGTCTCTTTTAATTTGCATTGTATTAGAGAAAATTATTTGCCTTGAGGTCTAAGGTCTAAGCTTTGATGAGATGCACTGTATTAATCACAAGTTTCTGTTCTGTATTTCCAGAAGAATGGTGTATCAAATGGAACTCTCTACAAAAAAACCTTTATTGAGCACTTTGAACAGGCACCAATGTATGTTGCTGTTTTTACTTTCCTGGGTTTTGGAGTGGGAACAATATTTGGCTACCTGCGAGATTTTATGAGAGCCTGGGGACTAGAAAAACGTCACATTGCTGCAGAAAGAGAACAACAAAAAGTATGTATGGAAAAGACATCATGTATCCACAGCTGAGTTTTCCCCTGCTTGCAAGTTATGTGCAATAACCTACCGAATTAACAAGGCAAACAACTTTCATCTTACAGAAGATCACTGCATAGCAATAAGAGGAATGACACACACTGTGGAATAAACACCTGTATGAATATGTCCCTATATGAATGTAAAATCCTAATTTTCACACAGAGAGATGTTCAAAGAGCGTCAGAACACTCTCAACAAAATAGAATCCCAGTGTATTAGGTCAATCCACAGAAAAAGAAAACTCAGAAATACCTCATTGTTAAATATATCATCTCTCCTAACCGCTTAAACCCCAGCTTTTCTTTGCCCCATGTGGCTGTCCTTGTCCTTCATAGCAAGAGGCAGTGCTAACATCTGTAATTGCTGACTTCTGTTTGTTGAGCTCCTGATCACAGAGCACTCAGCAATCACTGTCCCAGCTACAGAATGAATGTAGCCTGAATTCTTGCAAGTACTGACTTAGAGATTCTTTTTATCCCACATAGTTCTAAGTGAAACTTACACTCAGCAGGCTCAGTTGTGGTTTTAACTTTCAGATCTTTTATTGCTCCTCCTTATCTGTGCAGTTTGAGCCATCATTTACAGTAACGCTCGCCATAATGGAGGAAAAATGCAAATAGTCTTACTGTTCCTCTTACAAATAGAATTCCTCAAACTATTTCCTGTTTCGGCTTCCCGAAGATGCACGTGCGACGTGATGAAGTATCATGGTGCAGTCTTTTTGTCAGCATTCTCATGGAATATCCTTTTCATTTCATGATTTGTCCATTTGTGGAGCTATTTTGATTCCAGACATGCCAGTTAAATCTTTTTGCCATCCAGTATGCGTTACGTGTTCATTTAATTCTCCAGTCTTCCACATATGTAACTACATACCATGTTATTTTGTCAGTTTATTGTATCCAGTGTCCGATATGCCTATATTGCTGTTTCATGTAAATCTTTGTTTAGATTCCATACCTTTCTTTTAATTTAATTTCTAAGTAAAATCCATGGATAGAAATTAATTGTCAACCAAATCAGTTGCCTTAACTGGCTGTATGAATGTGCAGTCTAGGCCAATAATGCGCAGATCAGTTACACTGGACTAGCTTTAACCTAATGTATCCAGCATTTCATGAAATATAATGAGTTGTTTATCTTAGTTTTGCAATCTGCTCCACACATAGCAAAGGAAGCATTTGGTTTCTCCCACTGAAAGAATCATGAGTTCTTCCGTTTCCAGCTTTCCAAATGCTGAACTGTTTTAATGGCCAACCTGTTGACCATTAAAAAAGGAAACAAAACCAACAACAAAAGAACCAAAAAACCCACCCCCTGAAAAAAAACAACACTGTATTTCAAGGAAATAAAGTAAGATATTTGCTGGTAGTTGTTGCTTGTGTCATAGGAACATGTGGCTGTTACAGAGCTCTGTTCACTGATGAATCTGTTTTTCCTTTTTAATGGGAATGACTTGGGTACAGCAGCAGACGGTTTCCCAGCAACATAACCCTGTGCATGTTTTCAAACCAGGATTTTGTGCCACTTTATCAAGATTTTGAGAACTTTTACACCAGAAACCTCTATATGAGAATACGGGATAACTGGAATCGTCCAATTTGCAGTGTCCCAGGGCCACAGTTTGACCTGATGGAACGCGTTACAGATGATTACAACTGGACATTTAGGTGAGTCAGCTACTGCAGCTGTCAGCCTCATAAGAATTCTCCTGATACATCTGCAAAGCACAGAACGTTGCATCCAAGCCCCTCATACCTAAATCCTCCACTAATACACATCAGCATATTTTTTCCTGAAATCATTACTGTGCTGACAGTCTGTCCCCTTTCTTCTGAATGTTGTTTGGAAATGCAGTATGGAAGGGACTGAACTCTGTTGGAAATGGGTTTTATTTGGCTGTATTGGCACAAGCAAGACTGCTTATGCTTCATCAATAGCAACAGGCCTTTAGCCAGAATATTACAACAGGATTTGTTTTATCATAGAATCATAGAATCACAGGATGGGTTGGAAAGGACCTTAAAATTACCTAGTTCCAACCCCCCTGCCATAGGCAGGGACACCTTCCACTAGAGCAGGTTGCTCAAAGCCCTGTCCAACCTGGCCTTGAACACTGCCAGGGATGGGGCAGCCCCAACTTCCTTGGGTAGCCTGTTCCAGTGCCTCACTACTGTCACAGGAGAGTATTTCTTCCTTATAACGAACCTAAATCTCCCTTGTTTCAGCTTGAACCCATCACCCCTTGTCCTATCACTTCGTTATAATGTAAATCATGATTCCTTGCAATGCATATATGTTGCTTCTTACTTCCATTGTGAGTCTTTGGCAATGAGTTTTAAGCAGTTTACAGCTTGAAGTTTTCAGTGTATCCCAACTGTTGCTGAATTAAATAGATATGGAAATTCACCACATAGGCAATGTGCAGGTTGAGTATATTCAGCTTACTGAGAGTGCATCACAGTGTTTGCCACAACATTTTCTTCATGTTTGATTTCTGTGCATATGTGAACACTGATGACTCTGTAGAAGCCATTGACAATTTGCTTGAAAAGATAGTGTCTATAAGTTATCCCTTAAATAAAGTTTTAGATTTGATTGTTCATTCAGGTCCATAAAAGCCCCCTTCCACCCAGTACTAACAAATTGCCATCTACAGCTTAGAATCTAGAAAACGTTCTGAACAAGGAGTAATATTTAGTCAGGAATAGAGAAATGCTGGAAACAACTTTTGGGATGTTAAAGTAGGAGGATTATAAAATCCCAGATAGGAATTTGACAGTGAACAGAATTCAGTGGGAAAATTTGTGTTTTTTTTTTCTTTTTCTTTTTTGGGGGAGCTGGAGGGAAAGTTGCACTATTCTTTAAAATGTGCTTTGATTATAGGTTTACAGGAAGGATTATCAAGAATGTAATCAATATGGGTTCTTATAACTACCTCGGCTTTGCAGAAACGGATGTTAATGCTTTGAAAACTGTGACCATAGAGTTACAAAAATATGGGACAGGAATCTGCAGTACCAGACAGGAAATGGGTGAGTAAACAGCTAGATGGCCACCACAGCCTCTATAACTATGTGCTTTTTCTTACAGATATCTTGAAGGAATTGGATACTTAGAGAATTTTAGTCGCATAAACAATTACTTGTTTCACTATTAAAAGGGCTGCTGTGTTTTATTCATTATCACATAAGGAGCTTTTAGAAAGGAAACATGTTGCTGATTCTTAGAAAAGCAAAACCAAATGTATCACGTAGAGGTCTGGGATTTTTAATGATGGAAGTAAGAGGCTTATTTTCTAAAACAAGTAAAATAAACATTGGGACTTTGAGAATTGTTCCAGGGCAAATTTAATTTCATCACATTTATATCAGTTACCACATACAGAGTGCTCTGATTAGTAAAATGTCCTTCCACATCATTTATTTTTTACTTAATTCCATTTTCTAAGACCATAGTGTAATGCTTTATGGGACATTAATGGGCACACCATATAAATTTCTACTGTGCTTCTAATACATAAATTCGGGAAGGTTCCGTCTGACTTTTTTGCTATTATATGTTCTTAATGGTTTGTCTGCTTTTCGGTTTGGAGACTGCATGTAGTGTTATCTTCAGTCATATTTTTCCACAAAGCCTTACACCCTAATGGTGCAACCAGCCTACATTCCAGAGAAAACGATTTTGATCCACAGAAATGCAAGGGGAGGTTCCTGTTCAGGCTGTATCTTTCATGGGAGCTATCAGCCAGAAATAGAAAAGGTAGGCTTCCCAGCATGGACAAGTATTTTAGACTATTTTTCCCCTAATCCAGCAACCTGAAAAATTTTCATTTTCATAGAATCATAGAGTAGTTAAGGTTGGAAAGGACCTTAAGATCATCCAGTTCCAACCTCCCTGCCATGCGCAGGGACACCTCACACTAAACCATCTCACCCAAGGCCTCATCCAACCTGGCCTTGAACACTGCCAGGGATGAAGCATTCACAACTTCCCTGGGCAACCCATTCCAGTGCCACACCACCCTAACAGGAAAGGATTTCCTCCTTATATCCAGTCTGAACTTCCCCTGTTTAAGTTCTAACCCGTTACCCCTTGTCCTGTCACTACAGTCCCTAATGAAGAGTCCCTCCCCAGCATCCCTATAGGCCCCCTTCAGATACTGGAAGGCTGCTATGAGGTCTCCATGCAGCCTTCTCTTCTCCAGGCTGAACAGCCCCAACTTCCTCAGCCTATCTTCATGCAGGAGGTTCTCCAGTCCCCTGATCATCCTCGTGGCCTCCTCTGGACTTGTTCCAACAGTTCCATGTCCTTTTTATGTTGAGGACACCAGAACTGCACACAATACTCCAGGTGAGGTCTCACGAGAGCAGAGTAGAGGGGCAGGATCACCTCCTTCGACCTGCTGGTTACGCTCCTTTTGATGCAGCCCAGGATCCGGTTGGCTTTCTGGGCTGCAAGTGCACACTGAAGCCAGCTCATGTTCATTTTCTCATCGACCAGCACCCATAAATCTTATGGAATTCTATTTTATTGTGATCTAAGTCTTATTTTCAGGCAAAAATATTGCAAACCTTGTCATCCGCTTCTTATCTTGTCATCACAGTTTGATTTGTCAATAATAAATACGCCGGTGACACCACGCAGAGAGAGTTTACAGATTGACCTTACTTTCCTTTTGTAGGTGACCCATCTGGTGACTGCAGTTTATTGTTTAACCTGAATTGCATGCTTGAAAGTGGTCACCATTGGTAGTCATCTAAGGTACTGAAGGAACATTTCTCTGCATCTTTATCTCTTGGATTCTATTTTGTCCGAAAACATTTCAAGTTGTTTTCTCTATGTCAAAGAATATGTCTGGTGTTCCTTATTCTTTATCTCTGTGGAATTTTTCATGTGGAAGACTTGCATAACTTTGACTTTTTCTCAAAAAAAAACAAAAAAACCTTTTGAAAATATTGATTCTGTTTTCAAATATTAAAAGTCTTACCACTTACCTTCATCTAGTTTGTTTGGAGAGCCAATGTATACAGATTTCTAGGACTTTCTCTTCATCTGAACTCCTTTGGAGTACTCAAAGTTATCTGAACAGGTTGGGCAAAGTTTTAGATTTATTCCAATTGCTTTCATAACAAACAGTCCCATGAAATTCGTTCAGACACTTCACAATGCAAGAATGGGCTGAAATTAAAGAACACTGTGTATGTCTTGTCAGTGTCAGTCTTCTAGGAAGTGAATTTCAGAGAGCAGCTTGGACATCAAGAATTGCTAAAATAGGAAAGCAGAGTGTTAAGACCTGACTTAGATTGTGCAGAAGAGCAGTCGTTGCATTTTCTCCCAGGGAGCTGACAGAGAGCCTGTGTTTGTGTAGTCAGTGGAGAGTTTCCTCCACAGAGCAGTTCTGGGCAGTGGTTACTTCATTGGCTCTGGGTCTGTTGGAGCCTGTCTACTGCCAAAAACTGTATAAACAGCCAAAGAAAAACAGTTCTTTACTAGTAGTAAGGATACTCTGTTTTATTTTTGCCTTACCATTTTGTGCCGCTTCAGCTCTGTTTTGATTCATAGTTGAGCAGATCTGAAAAATTCTATCTATAGCTAAATATAGATATACACATATACATGCATGAAAGAGGTAGGGAAGAGTCTGTATGAAAGGTCTTACCGTTACGAATCATCATTTGCCATCTTCACCTTAGAAAAATAGAGCAGAATGGTTCTGATCCTGAGCAAATAACATTTCAAAACTGTTGTTGTTGTGCGGCTGAGCTAAAGTAGTTTGGAGTAAAACATGCAGCGAGCTGTAGGAGCCAAGGCTCTAAATTGCCTTTGGGGTCCTAAATATAAAAGAGAACTTGAATGTATTTGTATTTTCAAGCTAATTGACTTTGAAAGTACTGTTCTGTTTATGTGCATTTAAGTGTCTGGCATGTTTGGGGTTTTACCAAGATCTCTCTCAAAGCAGTAAGAGGTCTCTCTTTTAGAGAAGGATCATTCCACTCCTTTGGGAAGATTTCAGAGAGAGTGGAAAACAAAGAAAGACATAAGAATAACATGGGTGATGTTTGGAAGAGTGCATTATAGTTAAACTGTCCTTTGAGGGGTTCTGCCAAAACTCCTTCTCTTATCACTGTGCTGACTGTGGAGTGGGTACAAAGTGTTGTCATATCAGAATGTTGTTGCAGGTAGTTTACTCTTGGAATAAGTTAATATGGCTGTTCTAACGCGGTGGTTTATATCTTTACAAAACTGTGTTTTATTTAAGGAAACTTAGTGAAGCTAAACCATGCTAAATGTAAAACAGTTATTCTGCATTCCCAGAAAATTAACTTCAGACGGTGTGCAAACAGTGCAGAAATTAACTTCAGTGAGAACTGTGAAGCCCTGCTCATGCTTTCCCTGAAATAATGCATATGCCACTGGAACAGACATTCCTGTTCAAGCACAAAAGCATAGGAAACTGATTAAAACAGTGGCTGGTCTTCCTGCATTTGTCCTCCGTAACAAGATTTAAGGCTTTTCACTCCATTTTAAATTCAACACTCTCTTAGAATTGTAGTAATAATAATAAATCAGTTTCTTTGCATAACAGTGTCATTTAAGACACATTCCTGAGGCTTTTGTGGGACTTTTAATCTGAAAGAACAATATTTTCCTTTCTTTAAGACCAAGCTAACTATTATCCCTGTTGAGCATGATCTTGGGGTTATAAGTAGTAGTTCCATGAAAGCATTAGCTTATTGTCCAGTGGTCAGAAAGCAAGTCAAATACTAGAAGTTATTAGGAAGTGAATAGAAAAGCAGCCATAGAACCTCAGTATGCTATTGCATAAAGCTGTGGTTTGCTGTCATCTTGGGTACTCTGTGCAATTCTGGTCAAAACAATTTGGCAGAGCTGGAAAGTGTCAGAGAAGGGGCAACAAGTCTTTTGAACAGCTTTTGGGTGGAGAACTACTGAGCTGGCTGTCTTTAGGTGTCAGAAATGCCTGCAATTTGGCTTAAAAAGAACCTGAAGGAGGAAATTACAGAAATCTTCAAAAATGCATGTGGCATAGAAAAGTGGTCAGGGTGGCTGTCCATTGCCTCTTCCACTGGAAGATCTGCAGGGCATTGTATGAAGTTGGAAGAAAGTTTCCACCTAAATACAAGAGGCAAGTCTCTATGCTGGAGGCTGGCAGACCTAAAGAACTCATTACAAAGAAGGTTGAAGATACTAAAACTTCATACTTCTTTACATTCTAGGAGAGGCTGGCCACATGCAAAGGAGAGATCATTGATAGGTACTAGAAATACTGAAACCATTACTTGATTCAGGATGTCTTTATGCTGAAATTAGTTAGAAACCAAACTGCCATTATATATATGTTTATCCTGCATTCATTCTTCCCCAAACATGGATAGAAGGCCACTGTCAGATGAAGGATTATGGGCAAAAGGTGCACTCTTCTGTGGCATGGTTCATTTAATACTAGTTGTTTAACATAAGCATACTTTGTTATTAACAGTTTAGTATTAACTTATATTATTACTTATATACCTATTGCTACTGCTGTACAGTCATTAATACTGGACTTGTGGACTAACAAATCATCATACAGATTTGGCTTGACCTAGGAAGATGCACATACAGCTTTATAAATTTGGACAGTATTTACAACAGAAGTAACATTTACAGAACTTATGAAGCAGTAACCTGGCTGTTTTCTGTGGTTCCAAGGACACTAAGATTAAAAAGACATTAAGGGAATACACTTAAAAGAGATCAAGAGTTGCACGTATGCTTGGGGCATGTCTTCTAAGGGTAGTAGCTTGGATGAATGTGTGAAAGTGGTTGCCTGCATACAGTAAGCAGAAGGCAAAAGATGCTTGTATCAAGGTCTGCTTAGAGGTGAAAGACTTTTCAGTTGTGTGGTACATGGAATGGAAATAGACACTAAAGAATATTGACAGCAAAAAGTTAATTGTAAGTTAGATCCTTCAGAAAGTTTTGGAGCAGCTGGACATGTAGGATGAGGATAGGGAAACCTGCACCTACCGTA